TAGTTCAAGCATGATCAATCATGATATTTTGAGGTTTAATAAGAATACAGTTAACTTTAGAAATTTCATTGTCTCCATTTTCTACTATTGTGGTTCTGGCCAGTTTATATTTGGGTTTTATTTTTAGAAGCTTTATTGCTGATGATCAGCTTTATATATTAGGATTAGGAATTAGAAACTTTCATAGAAATTAGGATAGATATATAGGACTTTAGAATAGCCATTTTGTTTAGAGACTGTGATCTATTGTTCCAAAAAGTGGCCCACCGTGAACCTTGGACTGGGCCACATCCTGTAGAGCCCAGCGGGATCTTTGGACTGGGCCACATTCTTTAGGAATTGGCTTAAGCTTCCGTAGCATTGTGTAAGCAGTATTAGCATAGAATAGAAAAGTAATAAAATTTAAGTTAGTCATCATGGGTATTTGTGTGCACATGAGCTTTAGAAGTTATTGATTATCAGAACATCATGATGCTAATAGGGATTGTTGCATTGCTTTTGAGGAACATTAACTAGCAAAGGGAACAATAAGACAATTTTGGGGTTTGTCCTTCCTCATACCTGAGAAAACATCTGGTGGGTGGGGGACGCCCCTCCTGCACCTGGCTTTGTGCTCACGTGAGAGACTTGTGAGACTGTCTGTGTAAAATTTGGGGATAAATACCTGCTGTAACTTTCAATAAACGGCTTCTGCGCTAGACAGAGTCCAGTCTCTTTCTTTCTCCTCCCTTCTCTTTCTTTCTCTTTATTTCTCCAGAATAATCACCGACGCTGCCACATCTTCCAAGGTACCCCCTAAATCTCTCTGCAGGGGCTGGCCTCCCACATTAGCAGTGAGGTTTGACTGCACAGAGACCATAATAAATCAACTGCTTGCAGATTTATATCAAAACCCTATCAGTGAGTGGCAGGTGAACTGATGTACTTTAATTGTACAGCTGCATCTGGTGGCGGGCTTTAGTAGGAATCCAATATTTACTTATTTATTTATTTACTTACATCTAATTATATTATAGGCCTTATATAAAAGGACTGTTCTTTTTTTGTTATTGTTCTTTTTTTTGAGTTGGAGTCTCACTCTGTTGCCCAGGCTGGAGTGCCCTGGCACGCTCACAGCCACTGCAGCCTCCACCCGCTGGGCTCCGGCGATCCTTCCACCTCAGCCTTCCGAGTAGCCGGAATTACAGGCATGTACTACCACGCCTGGCTGATTTTTTTTTAATTTATTGTAGAGATGAGGTCTCGCTGCCCAGGCGGGTCTCAAACCCACGGGCTCAGGCAATTCACTCACCTCAGCCTCCCAAAGGCACGGGATTACAGGCTGAGCCACCGAGCCCGGCTTCATGCCTCTTTTTTTAAATGATATGTCGTATAATTATTTCATCGTATATTACAGCATAATAATAATAGAAATAAAGTACACAATAAATGTTATATGCTTGAATCATCCTGAAACCATCTCCTACCCCCCAGTCCACGGAAAAATTGTCTTCCACAAAACCGGTCTCTGATGCCAAAAAAGGTTGGGGAACACTGCTTTAGGGGCCTCAGTTAGGTTATAGAACCTCTCTAAAGTAGTAGGGATAAACTTTATGGCCAGGCGTGAGGGCTCAAGTCTGTAATCCCAGCAATTTGGGAGGCCAAGGCAAAAGGACTGCGTAAGCCCAGAGGTTTGTGGCCAGACTGGGCAACTTGGTGAGACCTTGTCTCTACAATAAATCAAAAAATTAGTCAGACTTGGTAGCACATGCCTGTAGTTCCAGCTACTTGGAAGGCTGAGGTGGAAGGATCACCTGAGCCCAGCGGGTGGAGGCTGCAGTGGCTGTAAGCGTGCCAGGGCACTCCAGCCTGGGCAACAGAGTGAGACTCCAACTCAAAAAAAAGAACAACAACAAAAAAAGAACAGTCCTTTTATATAAGGCCTATAATATAATTGGATGTTGGTTTTCATAGGTTTAAAAGTCTATAAAAACAAGGTACCAAAAATCAGAGGACAGATATATTTCATATGTCTAATTTATCCTAGTGGCTGCCTTTTTGGTACTATAAAATTATCTAACTATCATTTGAGGTTGGAGAGTAATTTGTGACTTATATATCATTTGTCTTAAAAGGAAATAAAGAATAATATACCTTCAAAGTTCTGGTCATAAGAACTTAAATTACTCATCACTTTTGACACTTTAAATGCTAGAAGAAATATAGTACATATATTAAAAGGTCAGAAATAAACAATGTTCACTATACCAAGAGCCATAAGTGGCAGGATACAAAATGTTGGTAGGCCTAAACAATTTAATCTCCAACTCTCCTTTTCCTCCCACCATTTCTCGCTCTTATCAGTAGCCATGCTAATGCCATGGAATAAACCCCAAAAATCTGTGACCCCTGGAAGAGTCTAATTTTATTCTGGAACTCCCTGAAAGTCACCTGTTTCAGTAAGTCTCAGTGTTGAGTTTCAGTCCATTCCCAAACCCTGGAGTTTATTCAACAGTGAAAAATGCTCAAAAGGACTATAATCAATTTAGTTTCTTTCTACAAACCCCAGGACCAAAAGTTTAACCAGTAGCATCTAGAAACTAACAGAAGTAGCTAGCCCAGCTCCCAGAAAACCACAAGCCAACTATCATTTTCCTACACCTATGAAATATGCAATGTATAATTTACCACATTTAGGTCCAACTTTGGTCACTAAATATAAAGAGTAAATAAAAAGAAACAAAAGAATTTTTTTAAAATGTAATGCTCCTGAGGGAGAATAATAATAATGCAATTTTACTTGACAGGGTTCAACTTATATAGAAAGATTATCTACCTATAGGTATGACTATATTTTGAACTGGGTTAAAAACTTCCAAAGTGGCCAGGCGCAGTGACTCGCGCCTGTAATCCTAGCAATCTGGGAGGCTGAGGCGGGAGGATTGCCTGAGCCCAGAAATTTGAGATTAGTCTAGGCAACATAACAAGACCTTGTCTCTACAAAAAAATTTAAAAAATTAGCCAAGCATGGTGGTGTATGCCTGCAGTCCTAGCTATTCGGGAGGCTGAGATAGAAGGATCACCTGAACTCAGTAAGTCAAGGCTGCAGTGAGCCATGATAATGCACTCCAGTCTGGGGGACAGAGTACAATATATATATCTCCAAAGAAATCACAGTAACATCTTAGTCTGATAACAATAAATTCAAAGTAATTACATTTCTTGGCTAGGTTATAAATAATTCCCAAATAAAAACATTTGCTAATCCAAATTACTACAGGTTAGATTTTTTTAGACCTTTATGATGCAAACATATTTTTCTGAGTCTGTCTCATCAATAAATTTATGAGCCTCATATTTTGTTTTATTGATATAGTTCAATATCATCCTCCAAATCCTATCAAATGTCTGGCACGCAAACCTATTTCAAATGCTATATGAACTTACAACAATGTACTCACAACATGTACAGTACTTACAACAATATATAGAATCTCATCCTCAAATTAAACCCAGTCAATTATCACCTCACAACTGAGAAGATCTCTAGCATTATGGCCTTCAAATCCCTAAAAAATCTTCTATGTTCAAATACGTTAGTCTAGGGAGTTTTAACTAAACCCAAATTGCTATCAGAGATTAGAAGAATCTAGGTTCTAGACACACAATAGCAGCTAGCACAGAAATCAGAAATAGATTACCTTTCACACCTTTCCAAGCTAGATCTAGAGATTATGGGAAACTCATTTAATATATTTAAACTTTATTTTCTTTATCTGCAATATGAATATCAATAATATCTAGTCTACTGATTTCTCAAGATGATTTTAATGATCTAATAAAGAACTGTGAGAATGCACTGTGATCATTAAAAAACTATATACAGGTTACTTACTGCACTAAGATTCAGGAAAACAGAGTGGACCGGAACTAAACTGAAAAGATACTTTCCCATTATTGATTCAAAATTCATTTTCTGGAAAAACTCTAGGAAAATTTCATCAATGTGGGTATGTATTTATACTAGACTGAAATTTATAAATGAAGTACCCACCAAAGAGTATAATACTATTATCACAGTCTATTTTATCCATATGAATACAATCATATAGGAAAATCTAATGAAAACCACTACTGTAATCCTGTTTTTCCTGTCTTTTAATTCTTACTGTTGAGAAAGTCAGGCTAGGGGACATGGAGAAGGAATTCAACAACATGTGAAATGCTTGTCACAAAGTCTTGAATAACTTTGGATGTTAAGTTTAATTTTATGCTGCATAAATAGCTATCGATCTTACCTTTGGTCTCTAGAGTCACTGGATCAGAATACTCTCCAGCCACAGCCTTGTTACAAGCTCGTACTCTGAAATTCATATACTTTGAATCAAATTTTAAGCCTAAAAAAATGAAAATGGCTTTCAGACATGAAAAGCAAAGAACACTATTCTCAAAAGTATGAGTATGAACCTTCAACAGACATTTTTCCTCCTTGGAAATACTGTATCTCCTTATTCAGGAAGATTACAAATTTATGTTAAAAGGGTGATAATGTTTGAATAAGAAGAATCATGATTTATCACCCATTTTATTCAAAAGAAATACATTACGTAGTTTATCAACTTTTATTTTAACCCAATAATTAAAAAGAATATGTTATTGAATATGTTATTGTAAACTTTGGCATCTGTCTGAATTATTTCATTCAAAGACAGACGCCACAGTTTACAATAACATATTCAATTTCTGGAAAGTAGACACCCTAAATAATTTTTACATTTATAAAACATGGTGTTTTTATGTAAAAATGCATTAGAGGAAGCACAGACTAACAATAAAAACTTTGAAGTTAGGTCTAGATTAAAACTTCAGTTCAAAAATTACTAGCTATGGGAACTTCAGCAAATTGAGTCTCCATTTTCTATCTGTAAAACAGAAATGATAAAACCAACTTCACAGTTGTAAGAATTAAGTGAGCTGTACTATATGTAATACAATTGAGCCCAGCTCCTAACAAACAGTAATTGCTCAATAATGGTAGCTCCTACTGTTCTTGCATAACAAGCATTGAACAACTCAGGTAATGTCTGGCCATTTCAAATATCCAAAGTCCACTATATATTGAGATAACTTTTTAAAGGCTTTCAAAAAGCCAACATACAAATTCCTAATACCAAGTCACGGCTCTACTTTAAGTATTAATTTGAAGGCAACCTTAAAACAGTAAAAGCAACAGTATTTACAGTATAAGTGAAACGGGTACTGAGTACATCTAAAAAACTGACAGGTTTTTTTATTCAGTCAGAAAACCAAGGTAAAAAATTAAATATTATTCTGAAATGTTGTTTTCGGAAATCCCTTCATATTTGTTTTACACACATTCTGTTTTACCAGGTTGCAAATACCCAGAAGTAATTAAGATAAATGTTTCTTTGATGTTTTAAGGGAAATTCACTTCCATAATGAATATTTAAAGTCAGTTTGGCTAAAGAAACTGAATAACTATCCTTTAAAGTGACTGAAAATATTTTTCAAAATTAACATTTATTTTCTAAGAATATGATTCCTGAAATGCAGTCATTTTACCTGATAGTGTATATTCAGTGCCCTTAATATTATCAATTATCTCCCAGCACCGCTCATCCTTCACACGTGGAAGACCATCAAAATTAGTCTTCCTATATTCCATTATAAAATGGTCAATCTTATTATCTTCTTCTGGCATTCTCCAAGCTACTGTTACAGAGTTGTCAGCTACCAAACACTCTACTGGATCTATCTCTGGAGCTTTGGGGACTGCAAAAGAAGAAAAACCAAAAAAAGGCTCATTCCTCATTTAGTATAGCACTAATCAAATATGTTTGTCATTCAAATTGTACTTTTTCATTCTGTTTTTAATCTGTTCAAAAGTGAGTCAGGGTAAGAGAAAGAATACCTTATAATGCAAAACAACTATTTTCAAAGTACATGCTTAGGATAAAGAATCAAGAATAACTTGTTACCTCTGAACACACAATACTTTTAATTTGCTATTTCAAATAGCTGTATATATAAATTAAACCGGCATTAACAAATAAAATTAATTGCTTTGATTAAAAAACTCAAGACTGTATTTTCAATGTATTTTCTTGTTTATATAAGAATTGCAATTTCTCAGTACTAAACAAAAATAATTCCCTGTCAAAAATACTTAGGTATTTTTTTAATGTTTCTCCCAAGAGTTCTATGATTTCATTAAAATAAACAGGAGTAAATGAGTCACATTTAACATGTATGAATATCAATCAATTTATTTTCCATAAAAGAGATAGTTCATAGTTTGTCAACATTAACACGTGATCCATTTACATAAAAACAGGCTAACTGTAGAACATAGTCTTCCAGTAATACAGACATGTTTGAACTGCGTGATACTATGCAATCCAGCGGGTATTTAGCCTCATGCTCATATTTAAACATTTTGTTGCTAAAAACAGAATTCAAAAGGATTTAGTCCTGTTTGCAAGGTCAGTTCAACATTTGAAATCAATTAATGCAATCGATCACATTAATAGAAGAAAAGGTATATAATCATATCAATAAATAGAGAAAAAATCTGACAAAATCCAATACCCATTTATGAAAAAACTCTCAGTGAGCCAGAACAGAGAACTTTACAAGAACATCTAAAAGAACATCTTCAAAAACAATATAAAGAACATTTAAAGAACGTCTTTAAAGGAATTTAAAGAACATCTTCAAAACAACTACAGTTAACATCCTACTTAATGAGATACCTTTCCCTAAGATTAGAAATAAAGTGAGGACATCCCCTCACTAGTGTCAACATTTTAGTGAAAGTCTTAGCTACATGCAACAAGATAAGAAAGTAAAAGGTATACAGATTGAAAAGGAAGAAATAAAACTCTGTTTGCAGATGATATGATTGTCTATGTAGAAAATACCAAAAAATAAAAAATAAAAATCCTGGAACTAACAAATGATCATTGAAAGGTTGTAGGATACAAGTCATAAATAGGTGAAGCAGAGGGGAATTTTAGGGCAGTGAAATTATTATCATGATAATGTAATGGTGGATACATGATATCATATATTTGTCAAAACACACAGAACCGTTTAACACAAAGAGGAAACTCTAACATAAACCATGGACTTTATTTAATAATAATGTGTCATTATTGATTCACCAATTATATTAAATGTATCACACTAATGAAAGGGGAAATGATATGTGGAGGAGCAGGTGGGTATATGGCAACTCTCCGTACTATAAAAATCAATTCTCGGCCGGATTCGGTGGCTCAGCCTGTAATCCCAGAACTTTAGGAAGCCAAGGCAAGTGGATTGCCTGAGCCCACAGGTTCGAGACCCACCTGGGCAACTTGGCGAGATCTCGTCTCTACAATAAATCAAAAACTAGCCAGGCGTGGTAGTGCACGCCTGTAGTTCTGGCTACTTGGAAGGCTTAGGCGGAAGGATCGCCCGAGCCCAGCAGGTCGAGGCTGCAGTGGCCGGGAGCATGCCACTGCACTCCAGTCTGGGAAACAGAGTGAGACTCCAACTCAAAAAAAAAAATCAATTCTCCATAAAACTAAACCCATTCTTAAAAAAAACAAAGTATAGTCCACCCTCTGCATCCATAGATTTGCCCAATGTGGATCAAAAATATTTGAAAAAATACAAATTTTAAAATATAGTATAACAACTACTTACATAACATTTACATTGTATTAGGTATTATACGTAATCTAGATGGCAAAGAGTACAGGAGGATACGCATATGTTATGTGCAAATACACAATTTTATACAAGAAACGAGAATCTCTGTGGATTTTGGTATCTAAGGGTCCTGAAAATCAATGCCTGACTAATACTGAAGGATGACTATACTCATTTTTAAAAATACAATAACAACAATGAATTGCATACAAAAGTTAAAATACAAAGCAATGTGAGAGATAACAAATAAAGTAAACCAAACACCTCAGTAAAATAACACCAAGATGAAAGGAATCTGACTAATATTTAAGTCCTACTAGTAAGAAAGGGTGGGTAAATTTTAAATCTTCAAGCTTTAATAGTAAGAAAGGAAGAGACTGTGATCAATTCCCATTAACTACAGAGTCTCCCCAAAGTTCAACTCTTTTGCATGTGTAATTGTATAATAAATATTAGAGTCTGATATACCTTATTAGTAACACAACTGACCAAAGAAATATTATGTCATAACCCTCAGTTTCCCTTCATCTGTCTTGTAGAAGTTTTGTTTCTATCATACATAACAGACGTTAGTCTCTATAGCTGCAACCTAAGAAATGTAGATTACTATTCACTGCCAAGAGAAGAGACCTTAGGCATTCATGAATTTAATATGCTCTGTTATGCCTACATGTGAGGAGAAGTAAAAGCTTGCAGCAATTTTTAAATGTTGCTGAGTTATAAATCTGTAACTGAAAGTCCTGAGAGGCTGGTCTAAAAAGAGTCTCTTAATTTGTCAGCAGGCCTAGCTAACTCCTTCCTATCTAACCTCAATTCAGCTGCCACTCCAGTGAGACTGTACTGACAGACAGATTCTTCTTTCTTGAAACAGTTACCAGAAGAAAGCCAACAGCCAATGTGGAAACACAGGTTAAAAAGAAAAAAAAAAAAAACCCACTAAAAAACTGGTGATACTCAAGAGAGAAAAAGAAAATTTAGATAATTTAAGAATAATATGTCAAATTAAGGTTGACTGGATCTAACAGGTGGGAAGTTCACCTGAGATTTTATATAGAAGAAAATAAACCATCAAATGAGGGATATATATTCTAGGGACGATGAAAGGTAGTATACCTGTAATATAAAAATATTACTTAAGAAATGCAGAATTCTCTCTGGAAATGAGCATTCAAAGCAATCTACACATCTATCTACATATTTCCATAAAGTTACAGTGACTAGCAATAATATAGACACTAATTGAAGAATTTACTGATTTTTCAATGCATGTGTATGTAAAAGAACAAATGGCATCAACATGACTGTAGATATGATTTTTTTCTTAGCTGCAGAAACTCAGAAAGGAGAAACTCAAAGTTTCAATGCTGAGTAGATGAACATGACTTTGTAATTATCATCCATTATCATCACTTCCACTGTTCAGATTCAGATTAGTCCATAACTAATATTTACTATAGATAATGTAGTGTAAAGTTGATTTCGTGGCATTTGTCAACTAAATTAAGGGACAAAAATATTTTTTCACTTTTAAGTTAATTTTATTGCATCTTGTGGGATATTTTTATGCTACAACAGAATATAAAAAGTTAGAGACTTCATCTTTCATGAATTTTAAAAACCTATTATACTTTTCCTTCTGGATGAAACTCCTATACAAAAAGATTTCTTGTTTTTTTAAAATTATACTTTAATACTTCAGACTGTCTTAATGGCTGGCTAGCAGAGGAAATTCTGTTAATGCGATCTATTTGACTGTACAGTTGCATGGTCTTGGTCTGTAAGCTATCAATGAAATCCAAAAGAAGAAAAATAATAGAAGACTTTTTTAAAAAATTCAAAGTAATAATATTCACATGTATGTTCACAATCTACTGTTCCTGATCCTGTCAGAATTCAGAAGTGGTGAGAAACTTAGACAAAGAAAATGAAAACATGTACACTAGACTTTAAGGAGAAAAAACTTCAAAAAAAGTTCTGCTTTCAACAGAGTACATTATGGAAAAGAAAAATGCTACCACTGATATCAGCAATTCATGAGAAAACTGAGAAGGGGATGGAAAACAAATCAATTAAGGCCGCAAATTAATATGCAGATTTTCAAAGTTTGAGTAAAAAAGTAAACTTTAGACAATACAAAGTAGAAAATACAATTTCAGAGCCATCAATGAAACATGAAGTTTTTTCTATAATTTAAATAGGAAATTAAAAAAGAATAATGATAGTAGCTTTATACTACCTCATCTTTACTAGGAGCTCAAAGATGCCCAAGATTACAAAGCTAGATTGCGAAAGAAGGAAAAGGTTTCAAAAATAGGTGTTTGACTTAAAGAGACAATAGCCTTTAATAGTCTTAAAGAAAAGCACTCTAATATCTTAGTTTGTTACTGCTGCTGTATAAATTACCACAAATATTGTGGCTTAAAACAACAGAAATTTATTATTTTACAGATATGCAGAGAAGTCTGAAATGGGTCTCACCGGAATAAGGTGATGCAGGGTGGAGTTCCTTTATAGAGGAAGCTCCAAGGGAGAGTCCATTTTCTTGCCCTTTCCTGATTCTAGAGGCTGCCTGCATTCCTTGGTACATGGTTCCATCCTCCATCCTCTAAGCCAGCAATGGCAGGTAGATGCATTCTCATGCTGCATCACTCTGATATGGACACCCCCACCTCCCTTGCAATGACACTGGGCCCACCCAGAGAATCCAGGACAATCTCTTTTTCTTAACCCAAGCACATTAGCTGTCTTAATTTCATCTACAAACTTAATGCCCCCTTGTTATGTAACGTAACATATTCCTAAGTTCTGGGCATTAATACATAAACATTTCAGGGAGTTGTTATTCTGCCCACCATAATCAGTTTGAGTATATTCAGAGTATTTTCATCAAATGTAGTTATATTCTTTACATGTTCCACCTTTAGCCAATGAACCCCTCTTCTGGTCTCTGAGTTCGTTAGATATGGTATCCATTGCAACACTTAAATGGTTCCTTCGTTTTCGAATACAACAGATAAGAGAGGTTCCAGACTCATCTCACCCAGGCACTGCCCACACCTGCAGTCAGGCGCAGTTAT